GCCTCCCCTATCAGGGATGTTTGCAGGATCCAATGGTCCTGGAGTGCCAGGGCATCCCCTGCAAAGTAAATGGCAAATAGTTCCACTTCACACCCTCCATTAAGAATAAAGCACAGCATTTTGTGGGGCTCTCTGGAGGTGATAGGTATGCTACTTGGGAACACTGCTCTGACTCTATGGGACTCATAAAGCTGCCAGTTTTTAGTAAAGCCTAGAGAGGGCTCTGAGGCAGACAAAGAATACAATGCAAGCACCAGACCCTTGGGTCATGTAACACAACAGAGCTAATACTCCAGGTATTTATGGCAGATAAGGATGCTGCTTGGAGTCTCTCAGAAGACCTTGGCAACCAGATCATTACTGTGCTGATTCCCAAAGGCCATGCCTTCTGTAGCAAAGAACAATTCACCATTCCAACAGCAGCTGCACATCCTCCATGAGATGAAGAGATGATTCAACCAGAGCTGCCCATCATGATCTGGGTAACATCAGAAGCACTGAGTAATGTGTTTGGGTGGACACAGCACAATACAAGGGAACTGCATGGGGTAACTCTTAGCCAATGGATGAAGAATATTTGCTTTTCCCACAACTGAAGGGAAAATTCTGTGTATTCCCCAAGGCTCCTCGGGAGGTCCCCAGTGGGAGCCTGTTACTCTCAGAGATGACCTGTCAATGGCCACACTTGATGGGCTTTTCCTCCTTCATGTTTCACTGCCTGGCCTCCCACTCCTGATCTTTCAGGTCACTTTCAAACATAACCACCTGCATAGAAGTCTTTCTCTGAGGCTCTGCTTTTTAGGGTAAGCCAGGTTAATACAAGGATCAAATGAGAGAAGTTATGAATATGCTTTGAAAGTTAAAACCAATGTACTCGTGTAAACCAGCTCTAAAGAACACCTACAGCACTTTAATTTATTCTTCCTTTGTGGATTGCCATCTCACTGTTTAAAGACTGACCTAAAAAGCATAGGGTAGCTTTATTTTATTTTTGTAAAGCTGGGGTCTCTCCCTCTTGGCCAAGCTGGTCTCACACTCTTGTGCTCAAGCGATCCTTTGGAGTAAGTTACTAAATCTGTCTTATTGACTGGTGTATACTCAGCATATAACATAGCTCCTGGCTCATAGTTAACACTTGTTTGTTGAACAACTGACTGAACATGAATCTGTTTCTTCTAAAAGTTAATAACTGTGAGTTCCTAGAAAGCAAGGATTCTACAATGTCCAGCAAATGTTTGCTGTTACTCTGGCAGCAGTGATTCCCAGCACAGACCACTTTCTCTTCTGTTGATAGGGTGTTGATATGTTTTAACAGTGAGTCAAGGTAACATAAGTAAAGAGAAACTAGGGCGGCACCTGTGGCTCAGTGAATAGGGTGCCAGCCCCATATACCAAGGGTGGTTAGGTTCAAACGCGGCCCCAGTCAAACTGCAACAAAAAATAGCTGGGCATTGTGGCAAGTGCTGTAGTCCCAGCTACTCGGGAGGCTGAGGCAAGAGAATTGCCTAAGCCCAGGAGCTAGAGGTTTCTATGAGCTGTGACACCACAGCATTCTACCGAGGGTAACAAAACGAGACTCCGGCCCTTAAAAAGAAAGAGAAACTATTTAGTAATTAATAGAAGATTTATTTAAGCAAGAATATATCCAGTCATCATTGCCAGACTTAATATGTAATGTTATATGTTCGATCGAGTTTTCCTTCCTGGATAAGTTTTTCTTTCCTGTCCTGTATAGACAGAAAAAAAGAACATTAAAAGCAATGTATTTTGGCATAACTTATGGCACATCTTTGATAAACACCCAACACCCCAAACTTAATTTCAACCCTATTATCTAAAGCTCAGGAAGTATGTGAGGAAATAACCACCTAAAGAACCATAGCAACAATACAAAAATGCTCTTATTCAAACATATCTCACCCATAAAAGCATATAATGATAGCAAAATGGAAGCACCTAGGAAGTGTGGACCTTTCTGTTAAGTAGGTCATTTTTCATATACTCAAACTCTATTAGTTCTAACAGGAGCATAGACTGACCAGTTTAAAACAAAATTAGATGGGTGGACTCCAGTCTAGTTGGCAACACAAGGCCTGAGGGCTGTGGCTGGGGTCCAGTACCAAAAGTGGAGTGGTCTAGTGCCAAAGATGAGTTTGGCTTTCTCTGCAATCAGATACCCAGGCCTTTGATAGCAGTGATTCCCAGCACAGGCCACTTTTGCTTCTCTGTTGTTGGAGTACTAATTAGGCTTTAACATTAGTTCACAAAATATAATCAACATAACTAGAATTCATGCAAACAGGAAACACACTAATAATTTATGTATTTTACTAATACTTGACCCAATAAAGATCATCTCTTTTTAAAACAAATGAACTAAGATAAATGAAACACTTGCAGAGATATTATCTAAAGGGTACTCACAATAGAAAAATTTAATTTCTATACATCTTCTAATAAGAAAAAAGGAATTAACTTTTTAAAGTTATTTTGGTATTTCTTTGCTTAATAATCACTGCATAATTTCTTTACACCATTTAAAACACATAAGGAAAACTCTTCCATGAGCTGAGTCTTTTAAATTGATCATTTTTCTTTTTAATTGCTGGGATTCACTGCGTGTACAAAGAACCAGGTTATACTGATTATATTTGTTAGGTTAAGTCCCTTATATCTGTGTCCCACTCCCAAAAGGTGGCACACACTGTGACCCCCCCATCTCCTTCCCTCTCTCTGCTCTCCCCTTCCCCCACCCTCACTGTGCACTAGGTTATTAATTGTCCCCATATCAGAATTGAGTACATGGGATTCTTGCTTCTCCATATTTGTGATGAATGTTAATCATTTTATGAGTTTAAATTCTAGACCACCCATTATATTAAATTTGAAAGACCCAGAGGCAACCATGATTTTTAACTAGTCGAAACAATAAAGCAATAAAAACATATAAATGAGACTTTCTGTTTTAACACCTTCTGGGAAAGAATAAAGGTAAAAGAGGACAAGAAGGGAAGGCAGAATATGGGTCCAAGGTAGGATGGGCGCTGGTGGCAATCATCAAGAGAAAGCGCTGAAGCTTGCACCTCCCACACAGATACTAAACATCTGGTCCTAATACTTACCCTGTCCGTTTTGAAAACATAATACCAGAAGATGAGGGGCCCAAATCCAACCAGAGCTCCTAACAATGAGTTCTTGGGAGTGGGTCTAAAATTGGGATAGACATTTGCTGATCTTGCATAGGTCCAACGAGTCAAGGCAGGATCTTCCTAAAATTAATAAAAACAATAAGGTATAGAATTTAAGAAGGGCCATATTGAGAAATAAATTCATCCTTTGTGAAGGAGCACAAAGATGGCTTTTGTTCTTTTCTAATAGTTAAGTTAATGAATATTCCTAATTAGCTTCAGAGATCATGTCTAATATTTTTAAAATAATTCTCTGATAATCCTGCTCAAATCCTTCAGAATCTGACTCTTCTATCACAGAGAAGCTACTTTTTCTCCCTTATCATTTTTATCTCTTCTTCTCTGGACTGCTTTTAGCTTTGTTGTCTTTCTTCAAGAGTGACCATCAGAACCATATATCAGAAACCTATTCCCAATAAAGAGAAACAGATTCATAAGCTCTAGCATATTTTGTATTTTGTTCCTGGATGCTTTCTAATGCTATCCCCACAAAGGTCTTACAGTCTAAAATAAACTACAGGAAAATGAAGGAGGTAGGCTACCTCTTAACTGTAAAGTTTATTTATTTATTTTTTAAGTTTTTTTTTTTTCTGTGGAGACTGGGCACAGTGGCTCACGCCTATAATCCTAACATTGTTGGGAGACTGAGGCAGGAAAATTGCTTCAGCTCAGGAGACCAGCCTGAGAAAGGAGCGATACCCCATCTTTACTAAAAATAGTTGGGCATTGTGGAGGGCACCTATAGTCCCAACTACTTGTTGCTTGAACCAAAACAAAAGTCTGAAGTTGCTGTTGGCTCTGATACCATGGCACTAAGAGACTCAGGACCAGAGAGTGGCTCAAAAAAAAAAAAAAAAGCCGACTTGAGTGGTATTAAAAGCAAAATTGGTCTATTTCACACTATTAAAAGTTTTGTGGAAAGGTCAAAGTTGTCAAAGAAAAACAATCAAATTGTCTTGGTTAAGAAAAAGTAATTGTCTATTTTAATATATTTTTATACTGGAATAACTATCCAGGAATAGCAAATCTACCCCCAAACACATAATTAAATTTAATTAGCTAAATCCCCAAATGATTTTACAAAATTAGCCTCTCCAATTAACTGACAGATAAAAATAAGCAAACAAAATCAGCTTTAAGACTTTAATATATGACATGAACATTCAAGGCCTTAACCAATACTACAAAGTCATGATTGGTAGGACTAAAATAATGTAACTGGGTCTTCCACAGTCATATTTCAAACCAAACTGAATTATAGCAATTTTACCCTCAGCTGGAGCTCAGAAGTAAAGAAACTTTATGATAGAAATGCCCCCTTCTTTACAATCTGGTTGAGATTTTTCAAGGGTGTGAGCATTCACTACTAGATTCAAAAGTCCAAAATACCTTCTGGTGTGCTAGAAACTATTAACATTATCACACCACATTAAAATGAAAGCAAATTCTGCAGCCTTGTTTATTATTACACCTGTACTGCAAACCGTAAAGAGAATAAAGACATAAATATAGGTCCAAGGAGATGTATGGGCTCAATATCTGAAAAGATAAATATGTCTATTCTTCCATCGTTTCTGCTATAAATGTATTTTGAATGACTATCCAATGACAGACTTCTTAATTTGCCAGTCACCTCTCTATGCTTTAAGATCTGCCACATCTGTCTTCCAGAAAGATACTTCATTTCACAAAAATACCAATAGTCGGCTCAGGCCTATAATAACCCTAGGGCTGAAGCAAGAGGATCTCTTGAGCTCAGGAGTTCCAGACAAGTCTGAGCAAGAGCAAGACCCTATCTGTACTAAATAGAAAAATGAGCTAGGCATTTTGGCACATGCCTGTAGTCTCAGCTACTTGGGAGGCTGAAGCAGCAGCATCACTTGAGCCCAGGAGTTTGAGGTTGCTGTGAGCTAGGCTGAGGCCATGGCGATCTATCATGAGTAACAAGCAAGACTCTATCTCAAAACAAAGAAACAAACAAATAGTCCATACTGTTGATGGGAGAGATTAAGAGAAAACACACCGTGGGGGACGGTTTTCCTCCTTTGACACCAATGTCCAATGGACTCTCAGCAGCATTTGACACAATGAAAAATCCTTGAAATAACTTCTTTACTTGACTTCCAGAGCCCAAACCTGCTTGGTTTTCCTCCTCTTTGGCCATTCTCTCTTCATCCCCTTTGTTCTTTTCCTCCTCTTCTACCCAAACATATCCTAAACAAATATCCCAGTATTTCATTCTACTTGCATACCTGCTCTATTCACATTCTTATCTTGGAAAAGGCAACATTATTCTTCCAATCGCTTAAGTCAAAAACCTCTCTTTCTCTCACACATCACATCCAATCTGCCAGCACTCCTGGTTGGCTCTACTTTCAATTTATATCTCAAATTGAGCACTTCCCATCACCTCCACTTCCACTGCTATGGTGCCACCATCAACAAAGAGATCAGATTAATGTGAAAGCCTCCTAACTAGTCTCCATGCTCCTGTCCTTGTTCCCCCACAGCCAATTCTCAACTAAACAGCCAGAAATTTTGCTAAAATGTAAATCCAGATTATGGGACTTCCTATTCAGTAAAAGCCCTTACAATGACCAAGGCCTGGTGTGATCTAGTCCTAGGTACCTCTGTGCCCTCATCTCTTTCCACTTGACGCTCATCTTTCTCCACTTTAGCCACAATGGTCTCTAAAGTATTTTTTTAATTAAACAAGCACACTGCTCCCCAAGGGCCTCGTACCTGCTGTCCCCTCTAATCACATGGTACTTTCCTGGAGAGCTGTGCAGCTAGCTTCCTCACTTCACATCTTTCAGATCTTTATTGAATGCGCCTTCCAATCAAGGTCTTCCCCGGGCCTATCTAAAATAGTGGGGGCTCATCCTCCTGGCTACAAACACTGAATCCTTTCCCTTGGTTTGTTTTCTTATCATTTACCATTCTAGAATGTTAAAGTGATTTTGTTTTTTAACTTGTTTCTTGCTTGTCTGTCTCCCTTACTGCAAAGAAAACTCTATGAAGACAAGGATTTTTGCCTGTTTTGTTCTCCATTGTTACCTAAACACCTAAAATAAGCCCATTATGACCCTGAGCTATTATTTAACTGAATAAATCATGCTTAGACAAGAATATTTATATCTATTGATTAATAAATGATTGTGTCACTCATTTAACTAATGGAACAACCAAAGAGGCAGGTATTATTACTTCTATTTCACACATAAGAAAACTGAAACTGCCCTGAGTCACAGAGCTGAAAATCATTAGATGTGGGGTTGTGTGAGGCCTTATTCTTTTTAACTCTCTAAGACATCAAACCTAATCATGTGCTTATGTATGTAATACATGTGTGTCTCTGCGCCTTCTTCCCAAGTGAATAAGATACTGGCTAGAGTACCTTGTTAAAGTACACCCAACATGGGTTACACAGTTCAAATTTTGTCCTATCATGTGTTAAAGGGTTACCTCTGTATGAACTACTTGCCTTCCCATGTCGTCTTTTCACCTATAAAATGGGGATAGTAACAGAGGTCAATTTTCTGAATAGTTGTGATGTATGAATAAAATACTCAAAAGAGGTTTAGCATAGTGCCCGGTACATTTAACTTTCCGTCACTCCTCACAACTTTCAGAAATTCCTAGAGAAAACCAGTGCAAATACTGGGAAAAGTCTTTGTTTTTTTAACATCATATTTAACATATTTATAAATATCATGTACAGAAAGCTATCTAAAACTTGTTAAACAGTAATAACCTGGGCATTTATTTTGTGGTGAGACTACATAGACTATCTCATTTACTCTCAAAACAAGCCTAGGAAGAATGTGCACCATTTCCATATGAACATCACAAAACTATAATTCAAAGTGGTTGAGTAAGTGGTCCAAAGTTTTATAGTTTGCCAGTGCCTTGGAGTCTGACTCCTAAGCCCAAAGCTTCAACAAGCTGCAGGCTCTTTTCTGGGAGGATGGGAGGTAGTCTCACTTTCTTGCCCCCAGGGCATTAGCTCACAGCAACCTCAAATTCTTGGGCTCCAGTGATTCTCTTGCCTCAGCCTTCCAAGTAGCTGGGACTACAGGAGCCCGCCACAACGCCCAGCTATTTTTAGAGATGGGGGTCTCACTCTTGTTCAGGCTGGTCTAGAACTCCTGGGCTCAAGCGATCCACCTGCCTGGGCCTCATAGAGTGCTAGGAACACAGGCGTGAGCCACTGCACCCAGCCTAAGCTGCAGGGTCTTTAAAAGATATAGGTTGGGCCGGGCTCCCTGGCTCACGCCTGTAATCCTAGCACTCTGGAAGGCCAAGTCTGGTAAATCGCTTAAGCTCAGGAGTTCAAGACCAGCCTGAACAAGAGTGAGACTCCCTTCTCTACTGAAAATACAAAAAACTAGCCAGGTATCCCCGGCTGGCGCCTGTAGTCCCAGCTACACTGGAGGCTGAGAGTTTGAGGCTGTGAGTTATGACGCGATGGCACGCTATCCAAGAAGCCAATTGTCTCAAAATAAATAAACAAACAAATAAATAAAATAAAATAAATAATATAGGTTGAAGAACCTGGATATTCCCATCAGGAGAGAAGAGTATCCTTACGAAATGTGAACTAAAAAGTAAAACAGGGAGGCGCCTTTCGCTCAGTTGGTAAGGCGCCGGCCCCATATGAACCTGCTGAGGGAGGCAGGTTCAAACCTGGTCCCCGCCAAACTGCAACAACAACAAAAAAATGGCCAGGCGTTGTGGCAGGAGCCTGCAGTCCCAGCTACTCTGGAGGCTGAGGCAAGAGACTCGCCTAAGCCCAGGAGTTGGAGGTTGCTGTGAGCTGCGACGGCACGGCACTGTACCAAGGGCAATAGAGTGAGTTTCTACAAAATAAAAAAAGTAAAACATAACTTTTTAAATTTCATAAATATAGTAATAAAACATTTTCTGATCACTGATGATGTGTTACCAGCGAGGACCTGCGCTAGGCCAGTCACATGCCTCATCTCATTTAATCCTCCCAACTACTTCATAAAATAAGAAGGTTTGTATCATGCCCATTTTTCACATAGGAAAACTGAGGCAGAGTTGAACACCCTTCTCAAGGTCACTCAGGTGGGAAGTAATTAAGCCAGGATTCAAACCCAGCCACGTCTGAGTCCAGAGCACATTTTTTTAACCACCGAGCTCTCTGGCCAAGGTCAAAGAGCTAGTGAGTGGCCCTGTTCTGGAAGAGAATGTGCGTCTAATATACTAAGTGGAAAGGGTGGTCGCCTCCCTGCGTGTCACCTTTGGCCAGCTGGGCTGCCCATCCCGAGGGGACCGCCCGACTCGGGCCCTCGATTCCCGCCCGGCCGGCCCCCAACTCACGATGTGCCCTCTGCGGTTGGGGTCGTTGTACTGAAGCAGGTACTCCCGTTTAAGCCGGGCTCTTATAGCTAACCGCTCGGCTTGCGCCTTCCGGGTTGCCGGAGATTGGTCATATTCGGCTGGGTCGAGAGTCTGGGGCAGAGTGGCAAGGGGAGCCGGAACATACTTAGGGAACGACTTTGGAGGTGCCAAAGGGTTCGACATCTTGGCGCCCACTCCCCGTGCACAACTGCGCCTGCGCAGCTCTACAGCGCTCCCCGCCCCCGCCGCCGCCGCCCGCCCCTTTATTCTGACCTTTAGCCTCTGGAACTGCGCCTGCGCGTTAGGGGCAGGTTGCGGCTAGAATTCAACCTGGAGCTAAGGCCCGGTTTCCGGGACGCTCTGACACACTGCTAGCGATCTGATCATGCGCAGTATCTTCTCCCCACCCCACCCCACCCCCATCAGCCCGTCTCTCCTTTCCTCCTGGCAGCGGTATCTCCACTGACATAACCAGAGCTTATTACGTAAAGGTTAAGCTGTGGGATTCTGGGAAATGAGACCAAGTGTGGAGTCAGAAGTCCTGGTTTTCAGTGTGGGTTTGCCCACGCTGCGTGACTTTGGATAAGTCACTTAAAATCTCCTTGTCCTGGAGATAATGACCCCTATTCTATCCATCTGGCAAAGTGGTTGTTAGGATCAAATAAACCAATGAATATATGACAGACTGCTTTGCAAAACACAGTGCTCTACCTAAGGAAAAGAGAATAAGCTTTTTTTGTGCGTTACTACATTAGGTTCATAGAGCACAAATATAAGCTTGTTTTTTATATGTACAAAATAATGATTAATATTCATTTGATTAATGAATAATGAAAATTAATGATTTATATGTGCAAATTAATGATTAATATAATATATATATACAAAATAATGATTAATGTTATAATAGAAATGTTGCCTAATGGCTGTAGTAGATTCAGGAAGAAAATGAAGTATTGAATGAAACTCATGCAGGAATAATATCTTAGTTAAAATACTAAAATCTCTTACCTAAAATCCTTAGCATTCTTGTGATAACAGAAAACATCCTTGCAGATATGAAAATCCACATCGGGACACTGTATCTTATACAGGATGATTTGGGCAGAAAACTAAGATAATTGTAAATAAAAGCTTCTCCATCCCTATCGTCCTCCTTCCCCCAGTACCACCAAGGGTAAAAAGCAACTTCATGTTACACAGCAGCGTCTTTGGGTACCAATAAAATACTCCTTCTGGGGAAAAATGTAAACATTTTTATAACCTGGGCAAGGAAAGCTGGATCAAAAGAGAGCTTCGGCTTGGCTGAGCCGTCTAGGGATATGTAGGTATGCTAAGAAATGGTTGCTAGGCAGAAGAAGGACCTAGAAAGTGTTGGCACTTGAAATGATGAGGAGCAGCACTGCTGTCAAATTTATTCAACATTTTAATACTGTTTTAAAATATTTATTAAGCACCCACTGCGTGAAGCATACTGTGGACTAGTCAGTCTTAGTCAAGCTTCTAGGCTCAGTGGGGGAAACAGAGAGGAAACAGAAGATGCTTTGTGTATCTTCCGGAGCTGACAATCAGGCAAAACAAAAAGGACAGAAAGAACACAGTAATATTTGCAAAGTAGTTTAATGTCCAAATGAATAAAAAGCAAAATGGACTCATGAAAATGCAGGCTGAGGGACTGTAGAAAAAATAAATTTGAAACAAATCACTCAATTTTAAGGGAGGAAAATAAGGAAGTTCTAGTTTGTAAATTCTAAAGACTACAAAGATAAAGTTTCAAAAATCTCTCATTTATAGATTAAACACTGTCCTAGGAAGGAGGTTATATAAAAAGAATAAAAGGATAATGAAAGCAGTCCAATGAATAGAAGCCAGCTGGCAAAGTTAAAATAGATTTCTTAAGGTTATGAGAAAGAGAGAGAGCTTCGGATGAGTTAAGGTGGTTAATCCCACACTTGCCTGATTATCCTAAGGATTTGCCTAGGATGATTGTTAAAGACTTGGAGTCTAGCCAGGACAGTCATGCTCCTATAGTCCTAGCTTCTCAAGAGGCTGATCCTGGAGGAAATCTTGACCCTAGGAGTTTGAGTCAGCCTGGGCAACATAGCAAAATCCTAACTCTAAAAAAGTTAAAGGAAGTATGTAAAAATATGGAGTGTTTTTTAACTCCTAGTTTCTGTTCTGCTCTTGGAGAGTGGTGTGGCGGGGGAACCCAAGAAATTGAAAAATTGTATTTTTTACAATTTCCTAGGGAGATTCTTAAAATATATCGTATGCTTGAGAAATAGAGATGAGTACAAGAAGTCTTTCTTTTCCCAAAATACCACACAAATGGTACCAGAAAAGGTCCCTCAGAGTAAATCTACTGAAGATGGACCTAGAATTCATGTTGAAGGAAAAAGACTTGATTGTGACTTTATCTTGAAAAAGTTCATCCAAAACATTATGAAAATGAACTTATATTTAACACATTTTGGTTACAATTGCAACTATGTGCTAATTCTGATAATTCTAGTGTTAATTTGGGGCGACAGAATTTTTTTATATGGCCCATTGTCCTTCACTTAGTATTCGACTTTGATAGCAGGATCATATTTGCGAAAGTATTGGAGGCTTTAATCCAGTTTTTCCAAAGCCCTCTTTTAATCCTTTGAAATTAGTTGTTTTCCTTTTGAAGTATTGATGTAAACATCATTTTTACTGATTTCCCCTTTTTCATTTGTTACTGGTCCAACCCTGTTTGGTTCTTCTTCATTATGACTTTGCATGTGAATTCAGCAGTTCACCAACATCACTTTCAATTTAATGAAATTCCATTATCTTTTGCAAGATGGACAGTTTTTCTTAGATTTTGGTTGTATTTGAGAGCTGTTTCCAAATGAATGACCAAGGCTTTAATAGAGGTGGCTGTAGATACTAAAGTAACAGATTGGACAATTTAAGTGGGGAGCAATTTCACCAGTTGTCATTTTATTGATACATATTTTCTGTTTTGAAGACATTTACTTCTCTGAGAAATCTCCTAACAGAATTCATCAGGACATAGATTAGAAGGACTAAGTATGTGGCTGAAAGAAAGGGGGAATGATGTGATGAAGTGGAAGAGTTTAGTGTTAATGTGCGGGGGTGTTCAAGCTGTGTGAATAGGGGAGAGTTTCAGGCAGCGGAAGATGAACAGTTGGATACAGAAACTGTAAGAAAGGTGAATCAGGAAAAGACTGAATTACCTTCCTTTTCCCTCCATAGAAAACAATACTGCAAAGAGCACTGTCATCTGAAGAAGTAAACAAAGTAAACGCAACCAAGTTTATCTAATATATGAAAAAAATATAGAGGCATATCATAAAGTTGATTCAAATATTTTGTTATTTGACTGGCTTTGTGATATTTATGTTTAAATTTTATAATTCTCATTCATATCTAATTGTAATTGTAATTTTGTAAAATTCCTTTTAAAGAAGTCCTTCTTGCACCCCCCCTCAAATTATACATGCATGTAAGCTTCAAAATCCCATCAAACCTGGATGTTCTTGTTTGTGGGACTTGTTATGGCTGCAAGGGAAAAACATAGACTACTATGTGAATTAATTTGATTGGGTAGGAGATCCAGGAACGTGGGGTAGCAAGGAAAGTCATCTCTGGTTGTATAGCCCTGGTGGGAGCTTGTCTTCCAAAATGGAAATGAACAGAAGCCCAGGAAGAATAAGAACAATAGTCCAGAGTTTTCAAAGTCCCACCGAAGTTCAAGTAACCTGCTTTCTCATTGTTTACCTAGCATTTACATTTCCTCCAAAAGCAGATACAATGGATCAGTATGACACTCTTCAATCTAGATTGCCTTAAAGTACCACGTGGGAGATTGGCTTTCATTGTATCTAATAACTCTGTGGCACTGTTGACTTAGGCATTGTCCCAATCAGTCATAATTATACAATTACACTATTTTCACCCAACAGGTACACCTAAGTTATCAAATTAAGAAAAGGCCTGCCTAGAGCTACTTTCTTCAGAAGTGGCAATATATTCAGCAGGTACTTTGAGACTTCACAGCCTGTCCCTGACAAACAAACGTTACTTTCTATGTTTCTGCTGTCACTTTGTTATAAGTCTTGTTATTTCATAGGGCAAATCTCTCCATTCATTGTATCATAGTTCAAAATAATCTAAGCTACTTTTTTTCCTCTTCTCTTTCAGGTGAATTTTATTTTAATTTAATTTAGTTTAATTTTTTTTTCTTTTAGACTTACTTTGTCACCCTTGGGTAGAGTACCATGGTGTCATAGCTCATAGCAACCTCAAACTATTGGGCTCAAATGATCTTGCCTCAGCCTCCCAAGTAGCTGGGAGTGCAGGAGCCTTCTACAATGCCTGACTGGTTTTTTATTTTTAGTAGAACAAGACACTCTTGCTCAAGCTAGTCTGGAACTCCTGAGCTCAGGTGATCCATCCCCCTCAGCCTCCCAGAATGCTAGGATTACAGGCATGAGCCACTGCATTTGGCCTTTCAGGTGAATTTTAGAATTAAGTTGTCAAGTTTCATGAAGATAAAATCCACTGAGATTTTTATTGGAATTGCACTAAATTTATAGCTTAATTTGGGAAAATGGACATCCTTATATTATTGTATTTTCCTGTCTCTGATCATTAGTCAGGTCATCTTTTATGTCCTTCAAATATGTCTGTAACTTCTATGTAAAGAAGTCTTGCCTCCCTATTAGAGTCATTCTTACTCTGTTATAGATTTGATTGCTAATGTTTGGCAGGAGCCAGGTTCGAACCGCCACCCTCAGTATATGAGGCCGGCGCTCTACCTACTGAACCACAGGCACCGCCCATTGCTCATCTCTTTTGCAAATAGCAGTCTTGCCTCTTTTCCAAGTCGTATACTTCCCCCCCCACCCCCATCGCTCCTATTGCACTAACTAGGACTTCTAGTACAATTCTATTTGATAGTAGAAATAGAGGGGCTCTCATTATGTTCCCAAATTTCACAGGAATATTCCGATATATTGCCATTAAATATGGTGTTTGCTGTATGGTTTGAAGAAGCCTTCTATCATGTTAAGAAAATTCCCTTATGTTCCTCGCCCCAAATTTTTCATTTTTAAAAATCATAAATGAATGCTTAATCAAATGCTATTTATAGATTTTAAGATCTATTATCATATTCTGTTTCTCTGTTATTCTACTAAAAAGACAGAAAGCCTTGTTTATTTTCTTCTTGT